TTGAGCTAGACAAAGGACTCTGCTAACGTTGCGACAGTGCTGGGAGGTATGATTATCCCGAGACCCATGTCTCAATTGGTGTACTCGTTGAACTTTGCTGAGAGTGCATCGATAGCTTCGCCAACTTAAGGTCATCCACCGCGCAAGCCGCCCCTCGCGCCCCGACAAGGCCCGCCGTCTCGGATACAAGGCCAAGCAGGGTTACGTTATCTACCGCATCCGCGTCCGCCGTGGAGGTCGCAAGAGGCAGGCTCCCAAGTGAGTGCAATCGACATCTTAAACAAGAGGACTATGCTAACATCATGTTCCAGGGGCGCCACCTACGGTACGCAACACGCAATCGAATTGCTATGGAACGAAAAACTGACAACCGAACAGGAAAGCCTACCAACCAGGGTATCAACCAGCTCAAGTACCAGCGCTCTCTCAAGTCCACCGCTGAGGAGCGTATCGGCCGCCGCTGCGCCAACTTGCGCGTGCTCAACTCCTACTGGATCAACCAGGACTCGACCTACAAGTACTACGAGGTCATCTGCGTCGACCCCCAGCACAAGGCCATCCGCCGCGATCCTCGCATCAACTGGATCACAAAGGCAGTCCACAAGCACCGCGAGGCTCGTGGTCTCACCGCCACCGGCAAGAAGAGCCGTGGTCTCGGCCGTGGACACAAGTTCAACAACACCACTGCTGGAAGGAGGAAGACCTGGAAGAGGCACAACACCCTCTCCCTCTGGCGCTACCGTTAAATGCATTGAGCATATGGTGTGCTTGGTGCAACGTCTGGTCGATTGTTTTCAGCGTATGGGCTGGCGTGAATGGCATAGGGTGTCCTGGGCTACGTAGCTTCCTAGCAGCAAAAAAGCTGTCAGGACTTTCAAAATCATACAGGATTCATGATCTTTACGAAGACAACACTTCAGTTTTTATCTGTTGCAATGTGAAATGTCGGGGATCAAATGTGAAGACGCTGCTGCGGTTGAGGAGGGCGTCGTATGGACCATGTTCGGAGAAGCGAGTATGCCTTGCTATAGCCAAGAACGAATACAGGACTTTCACATGGGTGGCTGACCGGTACCGGTATTGGTAAGACAGCTGCACCATCGACGTCAGACGTACGGCAAAACCCAGATTAATGCGCTGTACTTGCTGTGAACGTTTCCGTGCATGCTTGGACGATTGCGACATAGATGATATTCGAGAGCCCAGAAGGAATTAATACAGGGTTCTTCTCGTGGCCAGGTCGGGCGTTGCTAAGCGTTGCCGTAGGCCCCTCTCAGCCAAAACATCAGCCCAAAACACATGCAGAGCACCTCGCCAGCGCAACAAGCGACCGCAGCTCCAATAGACGCAAAGGGTAACCACACTCTCTGCAACACTGACGACATGCGGCTGACAGAGTGATCAACCCAGACTTTTGCAGTTTCCGTGGTTCAGCTTCCATTACCATGTTCCGACGTCCACGCGCAGCCAGCATCATCTGAGCAGCACTGCCCTGCCACACGACAAGGCAGTCAACGGGCAACCCCCACCAGGCTGCTTGACGACTAGAGCTGCCTACAAGGGCAGAGTGCGCGCACTGTACAACCTCCCGCCAGCCTCTTCACTCCCGTCTCTTCGCGAATACCGCCGCCATGGTCAAAGCCGATGCCACGCGAAACTACTATGCCGACCTGAAGGTATCCCCGACGGCCAGCGAGAACGAGATCCGCAAGGCTTTCCGAACGCTGGCGCTACAGTACCACCCAGATCGAAACCCCGGACGCGAAGCCGAATTCGTCGTCCGCTTCCAAGAGATCCAGGCCGCACACGAGATACTATGCGATGCCAGCCTACGAGCCAAGTACGACGCCGACAGAAGGAAATACCGCAATGTATCTGCTCCTGGCCACACTCCCAACACACCGCGAACGAGACCGCCGCCGCCTCCGAGAAATGCATACACGACAACCACCCCGCAAGGCTCGTACTATCGCGCACCTCCGCCGAAACCGCAGCCGCAGGCTCAGCGCCCTCCCCCACCGCAGCAACACCATAGCACATACAACACCGGTGCGGACAGGTTCTCGGGCAGGAACTTCCGCGCGCCACCAACAGCGCAGCGACCGGACACAAAGGCCAGGGATGCAGAGGCTCGCGCGAATGTCTTCACGGCATGGCAGAAGATGAAGCAGCCACGGGGTGAGGACCCTCGGCAGCACAATCCAAGCGCCCAGAGCAGTCCGCACACCAATCCGCAGAACAACCCCAATGGCACCCCCTTTGGCCGCAGTCAGAGCACCAGGGTCCCATCGTCCAAGACTGGGTTTGACCCATCAACACCAGGCGTCGATGAAGGCCAGGCACGGTCAGCGTATAGGAACTATGCCCGTCCGGCTCCAACCCCACCCATGTCCACGACTCCTGATATGGATAGCCATGCCGACGACGTCCCATACTCAGAGGCCAACCGCGTTCGCACACCATATCACTCCCATGTAGCAGGCGAGCGTACCTCCATGTTCGAAGGCCTTGGGCGGTCGTCCAGTGTGCGCAACTCACCAACACACTCGCACCGAGCAAGTTATTCGCAAGATGGGGGCGCCTTCTCAGACTCGGGTCGCAGAACACAAGGGAAGAAGGCCAGCGCGAAGCCGAACCCATTCGCTCACGGATATCCCGACTCTAGCGACGAAGAATCCGACTCGGAAGCGTCCAACATCGGCAACAAACACCGTGACCCTCCACCACCACCTCAAGCCACAAGGCCGCCTCCGCCAACCTGGTCAGAAGGTAACTTCACGACTCCTGATTCGAAACGACAGAGCAACGGCGTGCCAGGGAACATACCCAACAGCTTCAAGAGCAGGAGTGAAGAAAGCATCAACTTGAAATTCTCGCCTTCGGACTGGCATGGCAAGTTCGAAGGCAGTGGCAGTTACTTTGCTCCTAACATGCAAAAAGGTGCCAACGGAAAAGGCCGAGCCTCTCCAACCCGCGGCAGGTCACAGCGCAATGCGACAGACCGCAACCCCTTCAGCACGCGGCCGATGGACCCGCCTCCCGTTGCACCCAACGGACAGCCAATACCTCCTCCTCCACCGGGACCACCACCGGGTGTCAACTTCGCCCCACCTAAGATGGCGCCACACACTGCCAAATTCAGTCCTCAAGCCTGGCAAGAGACGTTCAAGGATCCGAACTGGGTATACAATCAGGAGAAGGAGACATCGCCGCGTCGACCATCAGAGGCTACGAAACGTCCAAAGGCTGCCCGAAAGGCTTCGGTACAGCAGAACGGGGCGTCGAAGCCCCAGGAATCAACCGACTCAGCTAGATCCAAGTACCAGGCCTTTGCAGAAGAGCCAGCCAATGGTGATGTAGATGCCATGGATATCGACCCTGTCCCACCACCAAGCGCGAAGCCCGCAAAGAAGGGAACGCGTACATCACCAAGACTGAACACGGCAGGTGCACAGGCGACACCGAATGGCTCTGCTACTGCACCTTCTTCTGCGACCACTGCAAAACCACCAGCCGAAGGACTGAACGGTCTTGGTCCAGACTTGATCAATCCGGTCGTGGAGCCTCAAAACAACGGACTTTCCGGCTTGGGATCTGTAATGGATGCTCTCCCTTTTCCTTCCGGCGCATCCAACTCACATCCCATCAAGGCAAACGCTGCAAAGAATCTTAAGTATCCAGATATACCTCGTGCACCTATTCCACCTACCAAGCTGGATGTGGCTTCCGTAAACACGTACTTCGACCACATGGGCGTTTATGTCAAATCCTACAGAGCGTACTGTCAAACCCTTACTAGCCACTTTGCTGCGCGGAGCAGCGAGATGGAGGATTTAGATCATCACTTCATCCACCAGCGCGGCGAGACTACCAGGGGAATTGGGTTTGCGAGCTACATGGCCAAGATGGAAGAGGATGAAAGTGTCATGGAAACATGGAAGCTTGCGCAAGAAAAGCACATCACTGCGCTGCAGCAGTGTGCCGATGTGCGGAACAAGACCATGAAGTTGTACCAGCCCCTACAGACCTGAGCCTGGCGCTTTGTCGCTTGCTTTAGTTTGCAGGTGTGCTGACGTGTCCTAGAGCGGCCCGTTGCCAAGGAGAGGGCAGACGCCGGGACCTTCATGACGTTGTCGAAGAGCTGCAGGAGTTCACTTTGAAAGAGACGCAGTCCGTTCCTACGCATGCGCCAACTTCGCGCCGACGCACGTCTAGTTCAGTTCTTGGTATGAGGATCTCGAGCGCGTTTCGCACTGCTGCACGCAGTCCGCCGAATATGGACGGCGGTATCGAGATCTTGACAGGTAGAAGTGCGCCAAAACCCCAGCCACTGCTGTCGAGGAAGAAGAAATATCACATTCTTGGGTAGCGATGGCGTTTGGGCTGAGCATTTAATACCCCTGATGCAGCTTCCAGGTTGCGACGTCGTTGGATGTCTTCACGGTTCTGCACGTGTAATAGTAGTAATATAGATATCGGTCATGGTATAAAAAGCAGGAACCCTACGAAGTCATCTTTGGATACACGTAACAAATTCTTACCCTGCATGTCACCCGCACCCTGGATCTGCATCTTGCGCGAACATGACTCCCGCGGTTGCAGCGCATGACGCCCGCCGACCCGAGGCAGATTAGCAGTTAGCACTAGAAGCACGCGCCTGTGCGGGCGGAAGAATAGACGGCTAAACAGCACGCCGAACTTCCATCCATCTCTTCATCCACAGCGGACACCATTGTACCGCGATTGAGCAATACTAAGTGGTATGACCGTCTTGGATCCAACTGCAATTTGCTTGGCTTCAGGATAGCCGTCCCGCCGGGTAAATAGCAGAGCGGCTGGCGGCATCGTGGGGCAGACTACCCCTCCATTCATAAGGACCCATGGGGAAGGGCAACGTATAGCTATATAACATTGCTGCTCTTTTTTCAGTTCAATCCAACTATCTATTTCAACATCAACCAAAAACTCAAACACATACATACATACAAAAACACACAATCATGGCAGACAAAGAACCAATCGTAACCCACGTCTTCACCGCCGACCCCTCAGCCCACGTCTTCAATGGCAAACTCTACGTCTACCCCTCGCACGACCGCGAGACGGACATCGCCGACAACGACAACGGCGACCAATACGACATGAACGACTACCACGTCTTCAGCATGGAACAAGTCGGCGGGCCCGTCACCGACCACGGCGTAGCCCTCAAGCAAGAAGACATTCCCTGGGTGCAAAAACAACTCTGGGCCCCTGACGCCGCATCCAAAAACGGGAAATACTATCTCTTCTTCCCCGCCCGCGATAAGGACGGTATTTTCCGTGTGGGTGTTGCGAGCGGCGATAAGCCAGAGGGCCCGTTCAAGCCGGAGGCTGAACCTATCAAGGGTAGTTTCAGTATTGATCCGGCGAGTTTTGTGGATGAGGATGGGAGTGCGTATTTGTATTTTGGCGGGATTTGGGGTGGGCAGTTGCAGTGTTGGAAGACGGGGGAGTTTGTCCGCGAGGACTATGAGACTATGGAGGCGTCGTCTGGACCGGCGCTCTGCGCGAAAGTAGCGAAACTGTCGGATGATATGACGACTTTCACTTCGGAGGTTAAGGATGTTGTTATCCTTGATGAGGCGGGTCAGCCTATCCAGGCGGAGGATCACGACAGGAGGTTCTTTGAGGCGGCGTGGATGCACAAGTATGGCGGGAAGTACTACTTCTCGTACTCGACGGGCGACACGCATTTCCTTTGCTATGCGATTGGAGAGAGCCCGCTTGGACCGTTTACCTACGGGGGAAGGATCTTGGAGCCGGTGATTGGGTGGACGACGCATCACAGTATTGCGGAGTTCAAGGGGAAGTGGTATTTGTTTTACCATGATAGTAGTTTGAGCAAGGGGGTTAACCATCTGCGGTGTGTTAAGATTAGGGAGATTGTTTATGATGAGCAGGGCAAGATTAAGCTTGCGGAGAGTCAGCCGAAGGTTATGTAAGGGGTTGGTTGCGTTGCTATGTAGGATGGATGCTGGTATGGGAGGATGGGAACCAGCTCCACCAAAAGAACTTCTTTATCCAAGTCCACTTTCCGCGTCTTTCAACGGGATACACCCCCTGTTTCACGGGTTCCTCTTCCATTGTCGACAAGGAAACATCATCCCTTACTTCCTCACACCTGCTCTTTCTCTCCACTGCCCTCTGAATCTTACCCTGCCGTCTCTCCATTTTCCTCCGTTGAATCCCCTCCAGCTTCTCCCTAATCTCTCTCGCCAAAGGACACGTCAAACACCTCTCCGCCTCCTCATTCTCCTCTTGCTCAACCTCCTCCCCCTCCCCCCTCCCCAAAACCCTCTCCACCTCAACCCCCGCCTCCCACTCCCCCCACCCCACCATCTCCATATTCCTCACAAACCACATCCTAAACTGCTCATCCGGCAACTCGCAAAACGGCGCCGGAAACTGCTCTTTCCTGATCTGCAGATTAGACAATATGTTGCCCATTTCCGGTACTAATCCCGCTCCCTGGATACGTTTCCTAGCCCAGCTTGTGCCGATGGAAGAACAACTAGCCGGCACATTGGCCTTCTCATACCGAACCAGTTTGTCGATGCGGAAATCCCCGAATTGAGGGTATATGGGGCCGTCGCGGTATTCGGTCTTTTTTATTAGGAGAAGGGGGAAGGTGGAGGGGGACTGGAAGGGCAATTCGACTAGGCCTGCTGCTTGCATCTTTTTGGAGGGGAGTATGCCGCGGGGGTTGAGGGTGTAGTAAGCGGAGTCTTTGTAGATGTGTTTTTCGCCCTTCCATTTTGGAGGTGAGGCGACGGAGTCTGTTTTCCAGGAGGGGGGTTTGGAGAGGAAAAGGTCTTTGCTGATGGGGGCGTAGATGTTTGACAGGGCTTCTGCGTGGAGAGGGGTTGTGGAGAAGTTTGGGGTATGGAGGCGGCGGGTGGTGGGTAGGCCGGTTTTGGGTGGTGTGGTGGACATTTTGGGTGGTGCTGCGGTCGTACTCGACGGTTTTGGTGAAAATGGTAGTAGTGAGAACTTTTGGAGTAGAGAAGATCTGTGATGCTTAGATTTATTTGCGGCATGTCGAATCTATATTTGGTGTCAAGTTGGTGTTGGAGCATATTGCTCATGTCTTTCCGTGGTTGAGTTAAGTGGGTTAGCCAGTCATGTCTCTCCTAATGGTATCAACTGAACTTCTTTCGAGGATTTATAGGATACGTCACTCTTTCTGTTTCCCAACCAGGGTAGCGACGTATCCTTGGAGGTCTTTCGCTTGGTGCAAGAACGTGGCTACCGTAGTTGCCTACCCTATGTATCCACTCTGCCGTCGAGCAACCAGACCCCGTGAGATACCCCAGGACCTATCATACTTACACTAGATGTTAGCGCACCAGCAACGTCGCTTTCTCGCATTCCCCAGCAGCCTTCGTTTTTCACTTATCCACCTAACCACACTAAACTATGCTATCGTAACGTAACCTCCCCATCTCCCAACGATGAACCGTCTGGTCAACCCCATGTTCCCCGTCTTGAAACTTGCATTCCGGATGCTTACCTCCGAAGTCCTTCCAACGACAGACATGTCCAAAAAAGCAGTTTACACGTCGGCACGCGCCGCCATATACACAGCGTGTTCTCTGACCTAGAAAACACAAGACGCTCAACACGTCGTCGGTGATCTCGCTATGATCGTATTGGCATTCCTCGCCGTCGCATCCGTCGTCCAGGTGGTAGTGATAGCAGCTACGAACTCTACCGTTCCGGCGTTTGTGTTCGAGATAGTCGTCAAAGCAGTAGTCGGCGGGTCGTTGAACGACATTTTCGTCGACACGCTGGCCCGATGCGTTGACGGGTACGTAGCCTGGTAGCTCGTCTGTAATCACACAATTACTATCCCTCCTCGCGAACACCTCAAGCTGATCTGGCCTCCGGGTAGCGAGGAGCGTAAATTGACACATTGGATCGTTGGGTAACTCGTCCGGTTCGTCTGTCGCTAGTCAGCCATACGGAGAATTCAACCAGCAGCATTCCCAAGGTAGGCCTTACCCTGCACACCTTCCCTGCGCTTGCCATCCATCAACAAGAATATCTTCGAGTCATGAACGGCAGTCACGTCCTCACAGAACCGGAGCATAGCTGGTGGACAATCCCCGTTCTCCGCCTTTATGAGGACGTCTACCCATAGTACGCACGATTCTAGGTCGACATTCGGCCGCTTCTTCGAGTGCTTCTTGAGGCAAGTACGCATGAGGGCTTCCAGCCTCGGACCTATATCGGCTTCAGTGTTGCTTTGGACGAATTCGTTGACATACTGGTTCGTGTTAGCATCTGGCTGGTAACGCATATTGGGTGTGTATAATTACTGGGAAGCTCATCGCGTCAATGTAGATGTAAACGAAGGGGTAAGGCGCCGTGGTTGGTTCGGTAGCCATGGTCGCGTCGGTCGCCATTGGTGAGTTCTGTGTAGCAGTGTGACCAAGGTAGCATCAGGAAGTATATCTGTCTCTTTGGTTATTTGTGAGGCTTGTTGTTCGAGCACGTGTCCAAGTCTCGTGTCTTGCACCACGTCTTTTCCAAATGACACCCGACGCTTCTGACCAAAACCGTAAGTGAAACGATAAGAGCAATTTAACAACACTACCATACTTTCGAAACATCATGAAATTGCGCCTAGAGCGGCATAAACTATCAAACAACAGACCCATCCACCCAACAAACATAAAAAGAAAACACGGCGAAAGCCCGGGATATATAACAGATAAAAGAACCCCCACCCACTAACAATATCTTACACATTCCTCTACGACATTCCACCTCTTCCTCCTCCTCTCAACCTTCTTTTCCTCTGTAGCCTCCAAATCCTGGAGCTCCTTCAGCTTCTCAAAGTCGATACTCTCCTTCTCCTTCTGCTCGTTCTTCTCTTTAGCCTCCTGTTCCAGCTTGACCAACTCTTCTATATCCTTAAGTCGCGCCTCTTCCTGCTTTTGCCGATGCTCTTCTTGTTCGTTGAGACGGCCTTGCTCGTTGTCCTGTTCCAACTCATGCAGCCACACGCCCTTGCCATCGTTGAAGACTTCTTTGAGTTGGGGTAGCGTGCCGCAAACGCCATCGACTTCGCCCCAGGGCAGCCAGGTCTGTTCGGCTTCGGTCCATATGCCGCCTCGCCCGCCGCGGTTGTCCCAGTAGCGATCGCCACCGACGAGGTGGTTATGGTAGCCGTCTGAAGACTGAGGCGCGCGGAAGTAGTTTCTCAGCATGGCGCGTTTGTGGTCTGAGTACCACAAGTTGTCCCAGGTTATGTTGGCGGCTGGTGGGCGCTCGCCGCTCGAGTGCGAAGAGCTGCTGAGGATGATGGCGGGGACGGAACCGGAGTAGGTGTTCTGGATCAGAGGAATGCTTTCCCAAGGTAGCTTGCGGCTCGGCAAGCCATCGAGCTCCAACGTAAACTCTAGATTGTCAATGTATGCTGGCTTTTCGTTGGGAGACGGGTTGTGCTCGACGAAGTCGGGGCGCCAGAATGGGGTCTTGGTCTCGTTGAGGGCAGTGGGTAGGGACAGGTAACGAGGGTCTGAGTCGGAGCGACTGTATTGCGACAAGTCGGTCGAGTTGTCGTGTAACAGAGGCGCGAGTTCGTCTTCGACACAGTAGTCCAAGGGTTGGAAGAGCGCGTGGGTATAGTCCAAACCGACAGAAAACTCATGACGTGTAGTGTTGGAGAACTCAGCGCTGGCACGCTCCAGTCTTCGCTTGGCTTCTGACGTGCTCGCTCGGCCCGTGAGGTATTCTTTGACTTTGGTACCCGTATGCTTCGATGCCACTTCCTCCGCATCTCTGCCCAGCTGCTGCTCGGCGAAGAGAGTTGCGAATACCGACTGCACGGTCTGGAACTGACTTCTCCCCTCCATGAACTTCTCCAGAGCAAACTGGTAAAGCATCTTCAAGTCGCTGGCCGGACCCATGACCATCTTGGAGTGAATGAACTTCGCTGGGGTGTCTGATATGCGTCGACCGTTCTCGGTTCCGTATGTATTGTCCGAGAGTATCGATTGAGGCACATACTTGCAGGCCATGTCGTCGTTCTCGCAGATCTTCTCTGCGCCGAACACGATCGTCTGGTTGAACTTCTGGTAGCCATTCTTGTTAACGCCATACTTCTTCAGCAGCCGCATGTTGGCGTCTGCCAACAACCTCTTGTACTGCGTGACAATCACATCGCTCGGCAGCTGGAACATCGAGTGTTGTCCGTCCACGATGAGAACCAAGTCATGGTCCTTGACCAGCTTCTCATTGCTCAGGTAATGCAGCGTGCTGTTCAGTGTGTCCCTGTCCCACTTGATGTCCGACTCATATGGCTTGTGTAGCTGTACCGCAGTCGGTGGAGGGTAGTGGAGAAGCATAGCAGACAGGGTCGTCTTGCAGAAGCCATCGGTGTCGCGTTCGGCAGGCATGAGGAGGTGGAAGTTGGGCGTCGTCTTCTTGAGTTTCGGCGGGACGTGGTCGAGTTCGCCATTCTCGATCTGCAGCGTCGTGTTCGAGGGTGTCTTGAACGGCGAGTGTACGATGTCGGGCAGGGGCTGGAGATACGGTCGCCATGGGTAGTACGAGGAGAAGTTGTGGTATCGTGAAGATATGACCTGTTGGAGTTAGCTTCGGCCTCGCTGATGACGTTCAAGTCTGGTGGGGTATGTCGCATATCTCGATGTCGTCTCTGCTGTCTGTGAAGGTTGAACATACCTCATGATTCCTCATACCCGTCAATCCAAGCAGAACCGTGAGAAGTGCAATCGTCAAGACCATCATCCTTCCTCTTCTTGTGCACGCCCATTGTACGGCGGCACTTCCAAACTCTTTGGGCGACTGTGTCGGAGACATTGGCAATGCCAGCATTGCATCGCCTGCCATTGTGGGTGTGGAAAGGAAAGAGCGATTCGACGACCTGTGACTCCCTCGCTGGAAGCGGAAGTTGTCATACTTGGTCGGCGGCCAG